TAGCCTACTAGAAAATGACTAATCAAGTCATTGGTAATGCATGATGTTAATTCAGCTTGTGTAAATATGCATAAAAAACTCACGAATACTTCAATAATGCTATATTTATGCAGGAGAAGTTTAAGAAATTAATCAAAGGTTTCCACATCAGAAGCAGATGTGAAGCTTTGCTTCAGCATTTTTATGAGGTTAAACTAATGAGGATTGGATTGCCATATTAAGTGAGATATAGCTCGGTGCTACAATATTGCATTATAATGCAATATGCCTACAGACATAGAGAAGAATAAAATAAATTTTTAAAACTGTCACCAACGAAGAAAATTAAAACCTTAAAAATATCGTACATCCGTGAGGAACTTTATTTCAGTAACTTACGATTTATGATGCAGCTTTTCGTATGTACGCACGTCAAAGCCACTCGCGAGGTACGCGTCTAGGGTTTACTTAGCACAAATTAAGTTCTTTAAACTAGCCTCGGTCAGCGTCCTTCAGAAAAAATTAATGTTGTCCTAGTCAACTCAAACAACCCTTGGCTATTTTTAACATTTTTCAAACGGTAGGAAATATATGACAAATAAATCAGACGGAAGTATTATTGACATCAGGTATGTCTAATGCAACCTACTTTATACCTCCTGGACTATTTTCTTACAGTCTTTCAATGTCTAGATCGTACACTCTTAGGGTATGTGTGGCGCACGACTGCTCTTCTGCTCTTCTCCTGGGCCACTTAGCATTCCTCTGATAAATGAAAACTATGGATTTCTTCTGTTAGCACTGCGGAAATCTCACAAAGTTTTTTTTCTCCCGAGCTGTGAGAACGAATGACAACGTTTGGCCGAAAAGGGAATAGAGGGGAAGAACGGACAGAACAAGCAAAGGATTAAAAAGAAAATATATTTTAGTAAACCAGACCAAGCTGTCATTCTAATGGACAAACCAATCGAGCTGAGGGCTGGGCATTTCCTGAATACTATTTTCTTATTTTCACGCTAGCACTAAGTTTGTAATGAAAGGGCACCTTGGGTCTTAAATATACAATTTATTATTAGGGGCTACCTCTGCATCTTCATACATTTTTTAAAGAGCAGGTAATGGGCGTTAACAATTGTTGAAGAACTCGAATCTGACCTCAATCCTTTCGCATAAATGCATCACGGAACAATTTAATTTAGTTCAATACAATGTGTTTGAGGGAAATACACTTTCGCCTTTGAACGTCCTATTCGTTAGATTGAGATCGCATGAATGTGCAGAAAATAAGGCGTTGAGGGAATTGAACCCCAATCTTAGAGTACACTGTTTTACGATAAAATTCTCAGATAGGGCACAAAGTGTTGAAGTGTGTCCCTTAAGTCCATGATTGATTGCCTCCAGAGACAAGAACATTAAACTCGCAAAGTGCAGGTTATTCTATGTTTCCAGGGTACGATTGATGAAAAACCATTCCTTGCATCCAATATGTTTTCTGACATATCCTTTTGAAGGGATACCCCCGAACATTGGTTTTAGTGACGAATTTTAGGAACTCATTACACATGAGGTCGCAGACCAGTCCATGCATGATACGGAGAGTTCATACGTAGTCTCCGCGTAACTGCCTATGACTCAAAGTTTATAGGCAATTAAGGCAGCGCATCTTGGCCACAAACTGAAGTTCTGGTTCATTTCTGCAGCCTTTTGAGTAAATTGCGGTCATGCTGTTTCTGAAAAAAGATGTGCCCTTCGGAAAACGTTAGAAAAACGTTCTTAAATTTAAAAGAAGCTGTGAATGCTCACCTGAGGGCATACAGCGCTGAAGTTGCGGCTTTGGCCGCCTTGCTAATTGCTATAGAATATTTGGCATTGCCTTCCATCCAAACGCCAGGATCCTTCTCTTTTTACTGATATCGAAATTACATTTCGTTTAGGTAGTAAGATGGTTTATCAAGAACTCGATTTCGATTTTTAGACGCAGCGGAACACATTTGTTCGACTTGAAAGGCAGGATCCGTCAGCGGGATCACTCGTCTAATTGACGAAGATTGTTATGGACTTCGACTTTTCAGATTTCTACATCATACGTGTAAACGACACGCTCATAGTCCAATTCCTGTACGAAGTCATTAACTTACAAGAGGAGGAGGGTCTGTGTGAGCCCTGCACCATGTAGGACTTCACTCTGTATTAATATACGCTTTCATCGTCGTCGTCCTACACATACAACTTAGGAACGACCGACGAGGACGTTTTCAAGACAAGTAATATGTTTACCGTTAATACCCATTACTGTCAATTTACACAGGGGACGCTGGCATGGAAACCCATTGGAGGTCTTTAGGAAATCAGTATAGGCCAAATGCACAGTGATTTTGCACCGAGTGCCCTTCTCCATTTTGCACCGTATGAAGCAAGTTCTTTACACATGATCGTTCTCTACGAAAGTTTTAGTCGACAATTTATCATTGAGGTCCCTTTCCATAACTATCACTAGTCGATGACGCCTAATGAGGCAGAAAAGGCCTTCCTAATGTCC